TATACCCTGAGAGCAGAGCCTGATCTCCCAGACTCTCCTCACAGGGTAAGTTGTGTTGGTATCTAATAAATTTACACGAGTTAATTTGGATGACTTTAAGACCGCCCCTTCCCAACAGCTGCCTAGGCACTTTATCAAAACAGACACCTTATAATCAGAATAATTCTGAAAGCCCTGAGTTTATCAATTGTGCCCCAAACGTTATTGAAAGCCTAACCCTTTTAATGACAGAAAGAGCATGTGCTTTTGCCTATGAAGTATTCTTCACAAATATTAATTGCGGTGGCATCAGTATAATTAATATCAGATTGAAATAGAACTTGATGCAACTGCAAATTCCTTGCACAATAAGGGGCATCTGGAGTTTTGAAATTGCAGGAACAGAAACGCTATATCCTGCATTCTGAGCAGTTTTCTGGGGTCCTCCTTTGTTGCGGTCCCCAGTTCAGGACCAGGCTAACCAATCCCCCCCCCCAGACCAAGTTTTGAACAACCGACCCCAGGTTATTTTACTATTTATTAAGCACAGCACAGATACACATGATAAGCAAACTATATTCGAACAAGCGCAGAAATGGAAGAGAAGAAATGGCTATTTTTCATTTTTACTTCTGAGTGATTGAAACGAGTCAGTTCACACCATATCGAATATCATGTTGAATCTCATGCGTACTGCGCAATTATGACAATGGCATCCTGCCATCCTTATATTCATCTTGTAATCACTTGTGACTTGTCTGATTCGATAATAGATGATTGAAAATAAGCTGCAGTATATGAAGTTTTGATTTTAATGTATTTATTTATAAATCTTTATACAAACCTGAGTAGTATTTTGCTGTGCCCGACTTGAACTAGTCGACGAAGCCGAGGTTGTAGCTGTTGATGTTGACGATGTATTGGCATTTGCACTCGAACTTGCTGGTGAATGACTCAAGAAAGTGGCTACTGTGCTTGCCACAACTCTTCCCAATTCGTCTGCATTAAACGAAGCCATCGAAATATCAAATTTTCTGCGTTGATTCCGTTGAAATCGCCCGGTTGAAACACATTTCAAATGTTAAGATATTATTTACATAGATCCGCGCGAAATATATGTGACCGCTGACCAAATTGCGCGAATGCTTCATCTTTATTACTGCGCATATAATCCAATTCAGAAAATGATTATTTGCAAATAAGGATTATTTAGCGCAATAAAATGATTATTTGTACAGAATAAATGTGAATAGAGATGTAAAGACCAATGTTTTTTTGTGAAAATGATTATTTACAAATAAGCAATTTTGTGTAAATGATTATTTATAAATAATTTTGTGAAAATGATTATTTGTAAATAAGTAATTTTGTAAAATTGATTATTTATAAATAAACAATTTTGTGAACATGATTATATACAAATAAGCAATTTTGTGAAAATGATTATATACATATAATCAATTTTGTGAAAATGATTATTTACAAACAATCAATTCACATTAGAATACTTATTTGTAAATAATCTTTTATACTATGAGATTCTTTACAAACCATGAAAAAAACAACATGAAAATTTCACAAATAATTTTTTTACATCCGGCGCCTCATAGGCAACAAGCTCAAAAGTACATTTGGTGTCATTATTGTATTTACAAAACAAATTGTTTTTATGCTATAAAGTTTGTTCGTTCACTGCAACCAGGTAGATCAATCATGTGATCACCCCTGATGAAGACACTAGACTGGAGTGTCGAAACGTTGGGTCTTGATTACAATTCGACTGGGCTTTGTAATCATTTATTTAAACCAGAGTAGCGAGCGAAACATGATTGTTTTTATGCTATTAAAAGCTGTCTTATTTTAATAGTCTTGTACTATTCTGTTTATATGAAGTATGTTATAGTGTACAAATATACGATGTGTGTTTCATAGACTTACTTATGGAAGGACAAGCGAATACCATCTTTTAAATCCCCATGTCTGGCCTTGCAGTTACACTCAGCACACAAAACAGGCCGAGATTCAAGGCATTCTTTTCGATAGAAAAACAGATTTTTTAGAATAGAATGCCCTAGAATTTTCAGATGAAAATACTGTATTTTTGTTGAAATAACAATGAAAGAACAAAATAAATAATAGTAACTTTTGGAATAATCAGATATATGTTACATTACTTTAGAAAAACTGGTGAAAGACTGAAGGAATACACAGGATAAGAAACCAGGCCGGCAGTTTCGCGCCATTTTTGTCTTTGCCCATTCTTGCCCAGTTGAATTTTAAACTGTAAATCGTACTAATTATAACAAATATACATCCAAAACTTTCACACCAGTTAGTTCTTCCAAAAAAAAGGTGGTGCAACGGAATCGGAAACAGTAGGACAACGTAAAATGCAAAAAACATGGTTTTTCCCTATCTCGCTCTATGATTTTTGAGCGGTTGAGCCGCCATCTTGGATTTTCAAATTTGGCGCACCTCTTCAGCCGAGTCAGCAATCTAGGTCTCCTATATCTATGGTTATGACGTGTTAGTATTGATGCAATGTGGAAAAACAGTCGAACAATTGATAAGATTAATGTCTACACGATAATAGTATTAGTTACGGACAATTGTTATTCTAGCAATTGCTGCTAACACCACAATTCCTCTTAATGCATTTTATGACGAAATTCCTGTACACATGTTTGTCCGACTACATTACATATGCCAGAGTAAGAGTATATGTATACGACTAATCATATGGGTATGTCAAAGACACTATCGTCCTTATAACAGCAAAATGCTTTAAAATATGTTTTGACGTACAGTATATTTGTTCGGGGGCTGTTGTTTTTTTATCTATTTGAAATAAAGAATAAAACACACATTTAATATGATTTTCTTTCTATTAAAGGAGATTTTTTACCAAATTGTGTATTTGGTGCGAAAATGGAAGAATTTTTTTTTTAAATGGCTGTGAGAAAGCTAAATTTGATGAATATCTGAGCTTGTACCTCAAAGACAACTGTTCAGATGGAAAAGTAAATGTCAGAAATGAAATCAACATATTTGGTTAGTCGTCTGTCTTTACAGCATATGTATCCACAGATTTTGAAACTGAAAAGACCATTTGGAATTCTGGAGGAGTGATGCTCAGTCGCTGGAGTTACCCAGGTATGTCAACTTTGTCTGCCACATTATACTTATTACGTTCATCCAGATTTCTTTTATAAAGATAGAATTTTATCAAAATATCGTGTATTGACAATATAGTTCATCAGTAGTTACCCACACTGTTATCTTAAGAAATTACAGTCATTCACTTGCTCATTGACTTCGTTCTGGTTCTTTCCAGACTGTCAAACAGGGAAGTACTGCAACTTTTGTAAGAAAAATTGGGGGTTATCTCTGTTGTTTTGTTATATTTATTACGTTGTGATGCTGTCAGTGCTATACAATGCGAATTAATGCTTCTGCCAAGCGTGGTTAAGTGATCTGTCCCAATTTTTAGCTCCAACGTCATCGCAAATATTGCATAATCCCGTCATTCTAACCATCTCTTTTAAAATTCCCAGCTTTCAATCCATCATGAAATTTTGATTCTGATATTGGCTTTTTTCCTTCTTTTACGCACTCCTTAAATTTTTTGTAGAGAATTCCCTTCCCATCTTTCAGCCACATTACAAGTTGTTTGCTTTCATCAAAGAGATCTGATATCCAAGACGACTTCATTCCTTCACACGATGCCATTCTGTGAGACGATCTACAAGTGTTGTCTGGATGATGAACGAACTTCAAAACGAATGCAAGATCTTCGGGCGGGATTTTAAATATCTTCACCTTTTCTTCGGACTTTGGTGTCACTCCCAGACTTTGGTGTCATTCCATTTAAAGATTTCCCCTTTTCTATTGAATGATTGTATGTTAAAGTGGCTCACTGCTGGTTTATGTACTATTGGAAAAATAGATCTTAAAACATTAAGAATGTTCAATCATAACTGATACAGAGAAGTGATAAATAAATATCTTAAATATTCTGATATGTTATAACAATAAAATATTCTGTCAGTAATGCTGCCATAAATAAATTAATTGAAACTTTATTTTCATGCAGGAATTATTTTCATGCCGAAGTTCCAGAACTGTCCTAAAAGAATTCTGTGTTGCTCCTGTTGGAAAATGGAGTATTCGAAGTAGGTATTTGCCTGCCTCTGGATTCTGCAATGTATATAATATTATAACAGTATAGATCACTCACATGATGATGACATTTAAAACTTCCGTGAAATTAAAAACTTGTTACAGAGTGATGTTTGAAGCAAAAATAAACAGATTTTTCAAAAATACAGCTATTTTTCAGCTTGTCTCATTTTTGCTAAGGATGTTGCTCTGTATCTGTTTTCTGTGGTCGTTAATCCTTGCCAGCTAGAATTGGCGTTCTTGTGTTTGATGTCATGGTGCAAGCAGGGGCATAGCATGGGTCCTGACTTGGGTCCTGACTTGGGAGGGGGGGGGGGGCAAGCATATTTAAGAAGTCTGGTCTTCTTTCACCAGGAGATAACACCCCCCAACAATTTTCTGCCAGGATTTCAACCCCCCCCCCCTCTCTCCTCCCCCCTGGATGCAGTGGTCTATATGCCATATTTTTTCAAGATAATGTAAACAGTATTGAGATTTTAACACTGCCTATTTTACCAAATTGTCCTGTAAATCCATATGAATTATTGTAATTTTTATATTGTTACTTTTTTTGCTTGTAAGCACCCCAGTAACTTTCAATCTGGTGTGTAGTTAACATAGATCCTTTTCCAAGCTTTGTTTCCATTAACTGCTGGCACGACTGTGTTGTATGCCTCTTTCTTTTATCTTTCTCCCCGACGTCAAAGCATTCCTCCATTAGCTGTTTTTGTGAGATGGTAAAGCGATTTATTTTGTTTTCCTCATGCTACCATGCTACCTGCGAGCAAATAACACCACAATGGTAGATTAGAGTTATTTTCAGTTTTCTTTTGAAGAACATCACTAGCATCTAAACTTCAAACGTTCTGTAAAACACCCATTGCTTGTACGATGGGAACAGCTCTTTTTAACTCATCCAAAGTTTTCCATTTTGATTTCTTAGTGGAACATGACTTGACATGATTTAACATACATTGTTGTCGAAGGAAGTCCTTGCTGCATTTTGGACATGTTAACTTCGTAGTTCTGATTTCATCTTTCGTGTTGTGGCCGACATTCGTTTTTTTCAAGAAGCAGTGCTAGTACTTTTAAATCTGGGTTTAACATTCTCTGAAAGTTGTTCATCAAACTCTGAAGTTACTCCAGTGGAAATCGAAGAGCTTGTTATGTATGTTGGTCATAAATTTGTAATTTTCTTAGGTTTTATTTGTCTTGTCGTACCCATATTTGTTAACTCTCTTGCATTGATTGTTTTATATGGCTCTTTCGCAGTCGCCGTAAACGTAAAATCTGAGAATGATGTTATTCCCTCCAAGGTTTTAGCACTTGCTGGCTCGTTTGATCTGTTTATATGTATTTCATACATGTGTGTCCCTTGTAAGTTTTCTCTTGTTCTGTCAACTATGTCTGCACTGTCCAATAAGTCGTTTCCTTTCTTCATCCAGGATTTCAGGGCAAATTTGAAGGTCGCAAAATGTGAGTCAAGAGAGGTCTTTCCTTTTTGAGCTTCGAAAAATGCATATCGCTCAATGTTCATATTCAAAAGCTCCGAAGCTCAGCTGAGACATATAATAATATATGTATTATGATAATGGGGTCCATTATCTGACCATATTACGAGTGATTTTACATGACTGTGACACAGTTTTGTGTGCAATCCCCATTTAAAAAGACGTCATGTATTTCAACCATTATGTCTTCTTCATCTTTCGTTTTGACGAAAAACATGCTACATGGATGGACACACCTTTCTTGCCATACCAGTCTCATTGTGGCTGTCTGAATTTTTCTAGCATATAGTTGCAAACCACTATGGCTTTCCCAGGTTTTAATATGTCAACATCTTTCATCATAAATTGTATTCTTTGATGCTTACCACAAACAAGATGGGCAATGTATAGATTTATCTTTTCCCGTACTTTATTGAACTGCTCTCGGTAGTATTTCTTACGCGCGGGGTTGAGGGTACTTGCGTTGATGGTTGTCAAAAAGCATTATTCTGTGTAGGCATTCCTGGCAAATTTCATGATGGTCTTTACCACACAAATTTTCATTAAGAAGCAAATCCAACAGTGGAAAAGGACATGATGAATGTGGCTGGAGATCGGACAAAAATTTCAAAAGCAGGTGTCCTTTTAGTATCTTGCATCTCTTTTCAAAATCATGTAAATTTGATACGTGTTCATTCACTTCTATCATCAAAACAGGAGAATCTGCTGGGAGGGAGTTATGTTGCTTGTACTCGCTATCTTCATCTGTTATATAAATTATCCTCACTTTTGTTTTATCGACATTTTTGTGGTCTAGCTCGTCATCTTCTAAGGTATCCATTGTGTCTGTACTAGGTGTTTTGCCACATGTCTCTTTTCTCAACATTTCAATCAGCTCGAAGAATCTGTCCCAATTTTTAGCTCCAACGTCATCGCAAATATTGCATAATCCCGTCATTCTTACCATCTCTTTAAAATTCCCAGCATTCAATCCATCATGAAATTTTGATTCTGATTTTGGCTTTCTTCCTTCTTTTATGCACTCCTCCTTATATTTTTTGTAGAGATTTCCCTTCCCATCTCTCAGCCACATTACAGGTTGTTTGCTTTCATCAATTGATCTGATATCCAAGACGACTTCGTTCCTTCACACAATGCCATTCTGTGAGAGACGATCTACAAGTGTTGTCTGGATGAACGAAGTTCAAAACGAATGCGAGATCTTCAGGCGAGATTTTTAATCTCTTCACTTCTTTAAATCTCTTTTAAATCTCTTCGGACTTTGGTGTCGCTCCCGGGCCAGGTAACTTTGCATGCTTACGGGCTTCTGTTATCTGGTAGTCAGTACAAGGGATGGCTTTTTTCAGTTCTTTGTTCTTGAAATACGGTGCTACTGCGCTAAGCAATCTGCAAATTTTGTCCTGCATCTTCCACATACTTTCTCTTCTTTGGTAATTTGAAACCGTTGCAGGATAATCCGTCGATGTCATGTGATGGTATTGGCAAGTACAACTTTGTGACTTTCTTTTTTGGTGTAGGACAACCTTTTATAGCACAGTTTTTCCCATGGCATCTCACCACCTTTGCCAGCCAGCAACGTCCACATATGTGCGAGCCCTTAATTTTTTGTAATTGCGTTGCAGTAATACCGAACCGAGTAAAATTATTTTCTGTTTCCGAATTTTTTCATCAGACAGAATTTTGCTGTTACACAGAAAGCATTCACTTGTGTTGGCAGAGACCTAAATTACATGAAGAAATTTGGAGAAGATGAGGATTATATATTAATATACATTTGAAAAAGATGGGGATTATACATGGAAATTATATGGGAATTACACAGCAATTTTTAGAATAAATTTTAAATTATTAAAAACAAAATATGATGTAAATAAATGTTTATAAATTTTCAAATACATGCAATATCAATTATTCTCTCTTCGTTTGGTGTATCAAGTATGTTATATAGGGTAGAGTTCAAGGAAAAACTAAATTGGCCTTAAATACATATTGTGCGCGGATATTAAAAACTGTACATTGCATGTGCAGTCAACAGATGGGAAATTCTTGACGAGTAAGCATCTAAGTTTTGGTGCTCGCTGCTTATCTATATATTTTCGTACATTTTGTTCTTACATTTGTCAATATTTCGGTCCTTGGAGACTAATGTAAAATATTATCATGTCGGTTGGTTCTAGCTGTTATTATTTGTGTTTATTGATGGTCAAGGCCAAGACTAAAGTCATTTTCACACATATTCGCCGCCATGTCTGTTATGAGGTCACATAAAGCTTCACTGGATGCTGACTTCAAGAACAACATTAGTACATTGATTAAAGATGAAATTATCACTGCGATGAACAACGAAGAGATGAAAAGTGCTATATCAAATCAGGTGAAACAACTGATTAAAAGCGAACTTAATTCTATTGTAAAACCGCTCGAAGACGATCTTGCATCCATTAAGGTTGAAAATTCTCGCCTTTGTGTTGAACTATTAAACATAAAGAAACAGAATACAACTCTTTCACTACACTCAAACGAACAATACTCTAGGAAGTACAATGTTAGAATTGAAGAGGTCCATGCAGAAGATTGTTTTGCAGCAGTTTCAAATTTTTTCGAAACCGAAAAAATGTCACTGTTAATGACTCTGATATTGATCGCGTCCATAGAGTTGGAAGACAAGGTCTTTCTCCTCATCAAATTATTGTTAAATTCACAAGTTATCATGCCAAGGAAAGGGTCGTTAAGAATCACAGCAAGCTAAAGGGCAGGAAAGGGTTTTATGCCAGTGAAGATCTAACTTCGTTCAATTTGGATCTTCTTCGAAAAGCTCGCATGGCTGGGCATGTTCAACACACGTGGGCGAGCGACAGCAAAATTTTTGTCAAATTAGAAGTTTTTGTCAAATTAGAATAATCTTTTTTCTTTCTCTATTTCGCGATGTTTATGTCTATAAGTATTCCAGGTGAGGGGCATGAGGTGAGCATTTATATATCTTTTTACAAATTAGAATTCGATGGGGGTTAGTTTAGAAGTATATCGAGCAGCTATCGGTCTGTATAATTGTTGTATTTCTTATCTTACTGTTGATGCTTATGGCATACGTTTGTTTCTTGCAATTATTAGTCTTGCTATACTATTTACACATCTATTTGGGCTTATCATGTTACTTTTATTATCTGGTTCGGTGCATCCAAACCCCAGCCAACTTAATACTTGCATGTCTATAGCACATTTGAACGCAAGAAGCTTAAACATTGTTGACAAATTTAGCAAAATCTCCGCAATTGCTGAACCACATAAATTTGACTTGCTTGCTTTAACTCCACCATCTCAAACGAGTCAATCTTAATGTCAGGGTTTAGTGCTCCACTGAGAAAAGATCGAAATAAATTTAGGGGGGCGGAAACAAATTTGCCCGACTTTTCGTGATTGTGCTCGATTATTTCCGAAAAAAATGTTTCCAGAAGTTTCACTTCATTTCAGACAAAATTGACAGAATTTGTCCCATTTATTTTTATAATAAAGCAAAATTATCTGACTGTTCATTGAATATTGCTCGACTGCCCAACAAACTGGGGGGCTACCACCCCCCCCCCC